AAGTATTATTTGAATTACAGTATTGCACTTATGCCTCTCAGTTAAGGGCCTTTTGGTATTTCCATTACAAAGTTCTATTGTCAAGGGCTTTTACAGTATTCTTGAATCTATAATCCTTTTGGGGGTTCCTGTATTAGACCAGATCTTGAAGGGTTTCGATGGAACTACATAGATATTGTGCAGGGGATTTATTTAGCTATTGTATTGTTGTGAATGTATGTATCTAGTGTAACTTAAGGGTTTCTCTTTTAGTCACAAAAGTGTATAATTTTTATTATTTTCTTTAAAAATTGTAAGTACTGTAGTTTGGAAATGAACAGATGACATTTAGGGTTGTATATGGAATCATGACTCTGACATTTATAAGAGTACACATATTTAATTTATAAACAATTAAATCCACTCAGGTTTCAGAAAAAAAAATCATGAGCACTTTTACCACATGCACATCTATGGTGGATAGAAATGGTTTTGTCATATGTGACTACAAAATGAATGAAAACTGTTTCTCTCTTCAACTAAAGATGAAAGGATGCTGGTGCTTGTTATGAGACTCTAGTTTAAAAATCAATATTGCCTTGGTCCTCAGCTGCAACCTTGTGTGACATTTCTATTCATATCCTCAAAAGCTGCCCTGCTCTCCAACAAAGAGAGTGAAGTGACAAACCAAACTACTTAACACAAGGGATGTGTTTGTAGGGACATAATTATTAGGGAGAGAGAGAGAGAAAAAGAAGAAAATGGAAACCATATCCCTCCTATATCTTAACACAGTGTGGGGAACACCAAACAATATTTTTTTTATGGGGAACACCAAGCATTTTTTTTGCTGAGTACAAAAAAAAAGGTTGTGGGGGGGTGGGGTGGGAGGAGAAGTTATTGAGGAAGAAAAGGATCGGGGGGGAAATTATTGAGCCAAAAAAAAAAAAAGTTGCCTGCCATTTGCCATTTGAATTTTGTTGTTCTCTGCAGCACACCTCCGACTGCCACAGTTTAAGGAACACTGACTTAATATCTCCATATTCTCCATTGCTCTCTGTCTCTACTCTTGCACTTCACAAACTTGAGTGTCTTACAAAGCTTTTCTGTTGTAGCTCCTAGACGATCTTGCTCACAAGCAAATTACTCAGCATGAGGGTTACATCATCATGGTCCAGCAGCTCTGACCACAACAGATTATCAGCAATGCTACAGTCACACTCTGGCTTTAACCATCCTCGGTTAATACTTACAGAATATCCCCAACATACTCCCAATCCTGAATTTTCCCCAAACACATATGTCCTGCACTACCCGGCCCTTGCCTGGATACGACAGATATTAATAGTTTGTTGACTCTATAAAGGATCAATATTTAACACTCTTCTACTTTATCTGGAATTACCAAACAGTTCTGTTTAAGCCCAACACTGAACTAGGTTAAAGCAGTGTTTCTCAAAGTGGGCCTTGTACCCACTCTGGGAATGTTGCTAGTAGGTCCACGACACTTTGGTTATCTAAAAGGTCCATAGCCATGGAGCCTCAGGGTTCCCATTGGCGCCAGTTTGCCGTTCCCAGCCAAGAGAGCAAAATATGCTTTTCTTTTAAATCAACAAGTACAAGCCCTGAAAACAGGGTAGCAGTGAATACTTTTGGGTTGGAGAAGAATAGAGAAGATGTTCAGCAAAAGATTTCTCAGGTCTGGCAAAAATACTAGGTCCAGTGCCCCAACATGAACTATGTCTAAAAGCCCTGAAGCATTTAAAATATTGGTCCTTGAAAGCATTCAATAGCTAGAGATACTGTTCTAAGTAAATGTTTGACATTAAGAGAATGTGAATGTATAACAAAATAGTATCTCTCTTGCAATGGCTACAGTTATGGTTGAGGAGGCAGTTCTATTTTCAAATCCTATTTTATGATACTTAGAGCTTGTCAAAAATATGGCCTTCAGTGCTAGCATTTTTCATATTTGTTCACAATCCAAACACAAATTATTTTTGAAAATATGATAACGTTCAACCTGGCTTGTGAGTTATGGGGATATGAAAAAATAGTTGTCTTCATCAGCTGAAAAATGTTTCAGATTTTTTCCCCCTCTAATTCCAGTAACTTTTATTTATTATGAGTTTCACTAAAGGCTAATATGGGCTCACTATTCACTTGCCTTTGGTATGTTTGGAGAAACCTGGTTTACAAATAATAAAGTCACACATTTTAAAATTCCAAAGCCTAATCATAACTCTGTCACATTTCCCATATGTATTCATGTGTTTTTGTCCTTCAGATATGTGCTAGAGTTCTAATGAAGTCACAGAGAGCTGTACGTGCACATCTATGTGCAGAATTTGACCATAAGACGTTAACATAATTTCCAAAGTACTGGAGGAGAACAAAGAATGAAAGTTGTATCTCTCGGAAAAATCAAGTTCTATCTCTAAGAAAAATACTCAAAAAACCTAACTGTAAATGGAAGAGGATTATCACTACAAATACTTTACAAGGTATTATTAGAAGACTTACCTGACATCGCCCAGGTCCTTCAGGGTAGGGGACGTGTGTGTGTGTGTAGGTGCAGGAGTCAGGGTAGAGCCTTGGGGATGTGTGTGTGGGGGGGAGTAGAGTAGCAGGCTGAGACTGGGGAGGGAATGGGAGAGAGTGAGGGATGGGGAGTGAGGGGCTCAGGGTAGAGGGTCCCATCCAGTGGGGCCTTTTCTTCCTTTCCCCATAGCCTGGTCATTTGGCTTTCTGTTTTCCTGCCTCCTGCCACCAGGGGCCTTTTCTCATCTCCCAACTCTGGGGCTGCGGCCAAAAGCTGGGAGGAAGGGTGCCGAGTATGGGGGTTACTTACTCAGTCTGGTGGCGGGCAAGATGGTGGAGCCCAGACCAGCTGACCACTCCCTTAGTGGTGCAGCTGCCCCCAGTAGACACTTTCAGTATTGAGTCCTTCCCCTCTGCATCCCTTCCCTTTCCATGTTATGGAAAACAGTCCCATTCCTGGCACAGCTAAACCCTGACTTTGCTTTCAGTGAGGATAGGAGGAAGCTGCATACCAAATTTAGTGACCCTGGCTATTACTGTTTAGGAAGAATTCTTAAAAAACAGACTCACAGATGCAGGGACGGCTTTTGGAAGTGCAGGGCTCAATTCGACCCAATTTTTGGTTGAGCAAATACAAAAAAACCCCCAAAATCAACAACCCAGCACACACAGAAACAATTCACAACCCCTTTAAATTCCCAGCTACAGGGCAGAGTCCCGCCTTCCAGCCAAACCCACGGGCTGACTCCTGCTCCCGCAGCACACAGAAGCCGTTGCGCTCCTCCTCTGGGGCCAACACCCCCTCCCGCAGCGCGCTCGGCACACGAGCACACTTCTGGGTTTAGGGCGCGGTGCCCTCTGGCTTTAGGGTATGGGGCCCTTTTAGGTGCGGGGCTCGATTCAGGGGAATTGGGCGAATTGGCCTAAACCTGGCCCTGCACAGATGGATAGACAGATGGGAATTTAAAGGGGTTGTGAATTTCTAAAGTATATAGATAGATAGCTTTCACACTAGGTAACCAGAGATCAGTGTACAGAAAAATCTGGTTAAATTCCAGTTTACAAACAGGAAGTGAGATTTATGTAATACATGTATCAATTTATTAGACAGAACTCAGCTGAATATTCTCATGAAAATTTTCCAAATCAACCAAGTAAGCAGTTGCCCCTTCTCAATTGTAGTTTTCTCCTTTTCTTTCCCCATACAACCAAAAGAATTAAAAACATTTTCAACTAAATGTTACTTACAACTTCAGTATATAATACAATCTAGTAATCAAATATTAACCATTAAACCAAACGTTGCAGTTAAAATCAACAATCAACCAGTGATTTTACAAATTGTAACATGAAAAACAAGTTTTATTTAAACCAAATGTTAACATGGATTTACAAACTAATGCCACATAGAGGGGTTTTAATGATGGTATAAATCACATCAGATCAATTGAATTGCAAAAGTATGCATACTGTAAAATCTAGCATCACTTCAACTGCATTCTCTTTCTCTCTGATAAGGTGTTTGTAGAATAAATTGCGACACTATCTCAATACTTCTTTCTGGGAGCAGAGTTGACAACCTTGTTAAACTTTTAGGGCTCGTCTACATTGGCCCCTTTTCCGGAAGGGGCATTGTAATTTTTGAGATCGTAATAGGGAAATCCGTGGGGGATTTAAATATCCCCCGCGGCATTTAAATAAAAATGTCCGCCGCTTTTTTCCGGCTTTTAGAAAAGCCGGAAAAGAGCGTCTCCGCTGGCCAGATCCTCCGGAAAAAAGCCCTTTTCCGGAGGATCTCTTATTCCTACTTTGAAGAGATTCCTACTTTGAAGGAATAAGAGATCCTCGGGAAAAGGGCTTTTTTCCGGAGGATCTGGCCAGTGTAGACGCTCTTTTCCGGCTTTTCTAAAAGCCGGAAAAAAGCGGCGGACATTTTTATTTAAATGCCGCGGGGGATATTTAAATTCCCCGCGGATTTCCCTATTACGATCTCAAAAATTACCATGCCCCTTCCGGAAAAGGGGCCAGTGTAGACGTAGCCTTACATTTTCTTATGAAGTTATAGTCAGGTATAGTTTTTATCTTTGAGAACAAATATAGTTAAAAGCAGTACAAGCTATAAATTCTAGCAGATAGGTGACTGTCCATTCCATGAGAGAATGCAATCACAGAGTATGACTGGTATCTTTCCACAGTGGAAAAGGCAATCAATTTTCCCTTCTGATACAGTTTACAGTAAAGCAATGGTATCTAACCTTAGGCCCCAATTGTGGACCTTGAGGTTCTAAACCAATAGTCCCCTAATTTTTCATGGTCATGCCATACCCATCTGAATGCACACTTGGGAGCTGGAACCAGAAGTGAGACTATGGCTCCTGTTCGTGGCTGTGGCTACCACTAGAGGCGGATCTGAGATCATAACCGGAACTAGAGAGGAAGCCGCAGCTGCAGCCAGGGGCTGAGGCTAAATGTGCGGCTGTGATCTGGAATGGAGCCATGGCAGCTGGGGTTGGGGTTAAGACCAGAAGTGGAGCCACAGCCTGGGGTCAAGGCTGTGCCATAGTCATCAATGCTGCTAGTGGGGAAAGCAGCAGAATAATGGCCTGAGGTACAACAGGGCTAAGTTACACTCCCTTTCTATCCCCCTGTGGGGCTGGTCCAGACACCTCTGGTCTTCAAGGACAACTGTATTAGAAGAAAAGTTGTATTTGTTTAGGATTTGCTTCTATGATGAGCTCTGTGGACAAGGGAAAGTCAGTGGATGTGATATACCTTGACTTTAGCAAGGCTTTTGATATGGTCTCCTGCAATATTCTTGCCAGCAAGTTAAGGGAAGGTGGATTGGATAAATGGATGGCAAGATAGATAGAAAGATGGCTAGAAGGCCGGGCCCAGTGGGTAGTGATCAACTGCTCAAAATCAGGATGGCAGTCGGTTTCTAGCGGAGTGCCCCCAGGTTTGATTCTAGGACCGGTTTTGTTCAATATCTTTATTAATTACCTGGATGAGGGGATGGATTGTACCCTCAGCAAGTTTGCGGATTACACTAAGCTGGGGGGAGAGGTAGATATGCTTGAGGGCAGAGATAGGGTCCAGAGTGACTTAGACAAATTGGGAGGATTGTGCCACAAGAAATCTGATGAGGTTCAACAAGGAGAAGTGCAGAGTCCTGCACTTGGGACAGAAGAATCCCAAGCATTTTTACAAGCTGGGGACCAACCAGCTAAGTAGTAGTTCTGCAGAAAAGAACCTGGGGGTTACAGTGGATGAGAAGCTGGATATGAGTCAACAGTGTGTCCTTGTAGCCAAGAAGGCTAATAGCATATTAGGTTGCATTAAGAGGAGCATTGCCAGCAGATCCAGAGATGTTATTATTCCCCTTTATTCGGCTCTGGTAATGCCACATCTGGAGTATTGTGTCCAGTTCTGGACCCCCCACTACAATAAGGATGTGGACGCATTGGAGATGGTCCAGCGGATGGCAACCAAAATGATTAGGGGGCTGGAGCATATGACCTCTGAGGAGAGGCTAAGGGAGTTGGATCTGTTTAGTCTACAGAAGTGAAGAGTGAGGGGGGATTTGATAGCAGCCTTCAACTTCCTGAAGGGAGGTTCCAAAGAGGATGGAGAGAGGCTGTTCTCAGTAGTGACAGTTGGCAGAACAAGGGGCAATGGTCTCAAGTTGTGGTGGGAGAGGTCCAGGCTGGATATGAGGAAAAACTATTTCACTAGGGCTGTGTCCAGACTCGGGGGGTTTTTCGAAAAAAGTAGCTGTCGGGGGTTGCCAGCTTCCAGAGGGCAATGGCGACCCTCTTTTCCACGGGGATAGCGGGCCGCAGGTGGGTGTCTTGCCGTAGCAGAGCAGGGGCGAGCCAGGTACACAGCTCCTGGAAAGTCGTCTTTCGCATCCAGAAGTTGCATAGCCACTCTTGGTCATCCCAGAGCTGCATAACGAGCCGGTCCCACCAGTCAGAGCTGGTGTCAAGCCTCCAAAAACGCCTGTCCACAAAGAAGTTTGGAGGCAAGGGCAGTGAGGCTGCATGATGGACGATCCCTTCGTTCCTCTGGTCTGGGTCCAGATGGGGAAGTAGCCTCATGACTGTGTCATGCAGATGCAGCAACAGCGCTGGCTCCATGCCAAAAAAAGGGGTCTAAAACAGGAAAACCTCCAAACAAAAAACCTACTGGGGTGTCCCAGGAAGCTGGGAACTCTCCAAACAGGCACTGCAATACCTTGCTTACCTCCTAGAGGGACAGCAAAGGCAGCTGCAGGAGCAGAGCAACGGGTGTTCAGGGACATCCCTTTACCCTTTAACCACGCGTCTCTGCAAAGGGCAGGCAGCAGCACCCGGAAGGAAATGCTGCCCCCATGCCCTGGCAGAAGCGGTTCTGGGTGGCTTTTAATTTCGAAAGAGCGTCCAGCAGTCAGGATGCTCTTTTTCGAAAAAGTGGATCAATTTTCCGATCCGCGTATTGTAGTCTAGACGTGCTCTTTCGAAAGAGGCTTGCAGTCTAGACATAGCCTTGGAGAGTGGTGAAGCACTGGAATGGGTTACCTAGGGAAGTAGTGGAGTCTCCATCCCTAAAGGTGTTTTAAGTCTTGGCTTAACAAAGCCCTGGCTGGGTTGATTTAGTTGGGATTGGTCCTGCCTAGAGCAGGGGGCTGGACTTGATGACCTGAGGTCTCTTCCAGCTTTATGGTTCTATGATTAGGAAATGTTTCTTGAGCTACACCAGGAGATTTTTAAACAGATATGCTTGAATCAGATCCATTAATAGGTGGAGATGGTGGCATTATTTTATTCATTATTATTTGTACTGTGGTACTGCCACCACTCCTCCTGCAGTCTCATGAGCCACATTAAGCCTTGATTGGTTCTGCCTGAGCCTAGGGAAAAAGATAAAGCATAAATTGTGACTCCTTAATCTCTTTGAAATAATATGATCAGCCATCAAATGAAAA